GATTCCCTTTGAAGTTTCTGAGAGCTTCATTTTGTTTTGTTTTTCCACTACAGTTCCCCCGATAGTATGTGTCTATTAACTTCACTTGAATCACTTTACTTTAAGAACAAAGAGAACATGTAATGGTACTAACCACTTAATATCTTTATTATTTGTAGTAGATGAGCATATTTTAAATGTCATTTGCCTTGTGTAAGGTTAAGATCTCATTCAAAGACATTATGCTTTGCAGCAATTTTAAAGGAAGTATTAGCTAAAGATTTAGAAAAACATCCTGTAGTTAATAATCTAAATAATGCTTTCCTTGTAATGTGCCCATGACCACCACTGAGGGAATGTTCTTTCGTGGTTATTATTGCCACACTTATGTTCACAGGCCCTGTTTAAAGCTATATAATTAGCAAATCCTTTAAAATAAAACTGCTCAAATGTTCTTTTGGGCTATTCTTCCTTTTGCTTACTGTTCTCGCAGTTTTCTATGCTTTTTTAGCCTATTGTGCTAATATTGACTCCTTTACCCACCTGCCAGCTTTCTTATTCTTAGGCATCTCAGAAAATATGGTAATTGCTTGTCTTTCTCTCCACATGGGAGCCATCTAAATCTCTTGGTTCTCTCTGGGAGGATCCACTGAATAAGAATTTTTTCAACAGTATCCTTTTCTTACCCAATTCTTCACCTTACCCATTGTGCGCTCTGAAAAGCCCACTTTTACCTTGCTGCCTAGATACCAGTTGCTTCTGAGCCTGTTTCTCATTGTAATGATCTCACAACTGTGGCTTCAATATTTCTCTATTTTTATCTGCATGGTTATAATACAGCTGATATTGTGAATTACTGACTTCAAGTGAACTGTAGACCAAATCTGTGATTCCAATATTAGGTGGAAGCAATGTATTTTCTGAAAACTGATGCTTTGCTCTAGACACTCACTTCTCAGTATATCTTTATCCTTTTGTTCACTGTTACTTGAGATCTACAACCTGCTGATTTTTGTTGTTGAACTTGCCGGCTGTTTCAGAATTCTATGATGTGTGCATCCTTCTTAAAAACACTGACATAAACTTGTCTTTTCTGGAGAATAGAACATCCTTTAGACTTGCAAATGAAAGGTAAATTGGTGGGTAAACCAGTCACTCCACTTTGATCTATTTTGTTTGTTTGTTTGCTGTACTTGCTCTAGAAAACAGAAATCTTTTCTTTATAGATCTTTTTTCCTGATTTTGGTTGTTTAAATTCTGCGACATACACAGCATATGCAAAGATTTCCCTAGATTTGTCTTAAATCAGGAGATGAGTAGTATAAAACCCAAACTTTTGTCCACTGAAATTACGAAAACAGTCTTGGTACATAGAATATGTTTTTCCTCCTATGATTTCAATGCATTACAAATCTTTTTTTCTATAATCTTGCTACTACAATTATTTATTTATTCATTCATTTATTGAATCCAGGGCCTCCCATTGGCGAGGAAGGTGTTGTGTCACTGAGCTATATTACCAGTCCCTACAATCTTTTATTATATAAGTTTCTTAGGATATACATTATATTTTGTGGTCCATTTAAAATAAATTTTTGATGCGGAAAGTTTTAAAAAAGTGAAAAATCCCATAGTTATGTAAGTTCAGTAAGTGTCAACTTATTAGTTGAGTTAGTTGAATTTTTATCTATACTTTACCTTTTCTCTTTGAAAATAGTGAGCATTAGATACAATAGTTCATTTATCAGCATTTAGAATTAAAAGGCACAATCTCACTATTATCATGCCTATAAATTTTAACAGTATTTCCTTAATATCATGAACTAACAATTAATATTAAAATAGCACTATTTACAATATCTCATAATTTATTTGCAATTGGCTATTCAACTATAATCCAAACAATGCATTTGGCTGGTTTTATTTACTTTAGTTTCTTCAATTATTAGTACATGTTTGCTGTACATGAAGATTACATTCATTGTGCGGATTTGATATATGTACCTAATGTATCTTAACTCTTTTTACTTTCTTTTCCACTCTTCTCCCTTCCTCTCTTTCCATCTCTTGGCACACTTCCCATGTGCAGAAGATCTATCTCTTGCTTCCTATTATCTATCCTTTATTTTGCTCTTTAAAGTATTTATATATTAGGTTTCTCATACAGGAGAGACTATGAGATATTATTTCCCTAAACATTATGGTCTTGAGATGTATCCATTTTCCTACAAAGACTCAAATCTTCCTGCTTCAATGGAGTAGCACTCCATTGTGTGAAATACCACATTTAAAAATTCATTTATCTGTTGATGGACATGTAGGCCACTTCTGAAATTTAGCTATTATGAATTGTTCTACTATAAATGTGAGTATGCAGATATCACTGTAATATGATGCCTTTAACTCTTAGGAAGATACTAAAATGAGTATAGCTGGGTCAAGTGGAATTTCTATTTTTAATTTTTTTGAGGAACCTCCATTCTGCTTAACATAATAATTGTACTATTGTTGTATTATGTTTTATATTTCCACCAAAAATGTGGAAGGATTCTTTGAGCACTCCACAACAGCCTCACCACATTCGTTACTATTTTTAGTTCTCGATGATAGCCATTCTTTCTGACTAAGATGGAATCTCCGTATTGTTTTAATTTGCATTTCTCTAATGGCCAATGATATTGAACATTTTTTCATGGCATTGGTTGGGAGCGAGAAAGTTAAATTATGTAGACTGTATGTATATTGATAATTGGCATTACCCTTTTGAACTATCTGTTATTGTTCTAAACACATTTGGCACAAAGTTTTTGAACACAGTAGGAAGCTTAACGGTTTGAAAACTGATTTGTCATAAATAAAAGCTCATCTGAGCTCATGAAGTGCAGGCTCTTATAAATCCATTGTAAAATGTAAAGAAACGGTGGTATTGATGTGTATACATGGTAACAAAAAGATGCAGAACTACCAGGACACATGTCCCACTAAGCAGCAGATCTGAAAAAGATGGTCAGTCAGAATTTCTTATTGGATGGATTCCAGACAAAAGACCTGATACTGTAGATTGTGTATTTAGACAACTAGAAATGATGAACTCATAGAAAAGAATGAACACATCAGTATATAGATTGGAGGTCACAGAGAGAATAGTGTAGGGTTACGGTTGCAGGGCAGACACAGGAAACAGGAAGAAGAGGGTGCTCTCAGGAAGGGCAGGGAAAGAGAATATCACAATCTGAGAAGGGGAGAGTATTAAGTGGCAAGGGATGATCAGTCATGTCAGGTAAAGTAGAGAGAAGCAATATCCGTTAGGCATCAAAGGGAAGTTGCCAGCAGTGCTTGAGAGGACTCTTGCAAGTCACATATAGAAAAAGAGCTGCAGAAAATGGAGGACAGAAGGAAGCAGAAGGTCAAGACGAAAGCACTGATGATCTATTCTAGGACTGGGGTTCTGAAGAAGGCAGGTGTGCTGGTCCAGAGAAGCCACAGGTGGGGAATGGAATTGTGCTTGGAAACCAGGGATGGGAATGTCTTCTGTTATTTTGATAAAAATGGAAAACTTCATTTTTAGGAAATTAAAATTTTTAATATAGTCAATGTAAAAAAGACTAGTCATTTTAAATATTGCAAGGCAGTATTTTGTCAATTTACATTCTGTATAATACTGTTTAATGCACATAAAATTAGGTATTTAATTAGGAAAGCTAGTTTTTCCTTTTATAAAACAATTTTTTATTAGACATATTTTTTATTTAGAGAAATCAAAATAGAAAAAAGGGTAGAAATAATACAGAATTTCAAAAAAACAGAAAAATATCAGTAGTTGATAAATTACATATCGTTGTTTAAATTACAAAATCAAAGCATAAAAAGTATTCAAAACAGAACTTTTTGGATTTCTGTATTATTTTCCTCACCACTTCTTTAACCAGATATCATGGAAAGGAAAGTATTTTTATTTTGTTAGTTTCATTGATTTCTTGCTTACAAAGAAATGTTTGTTACACAAATGTCATTCAATACAGGACAGTTTAAAGAATTTTTTAATCTCATAAAACAATATTATTTAGAGATACTATCATGAACTCCATTCAAAATGTTTCTTTGTGTAGGTACATTTTGTTTAATGAGATCATGCTATAAATGTAGTTTTGCATCTACGTTTTTGCATCTAGTAACATGCTGTAGATATTTTCTGTGCCAAAGATTCAACATCCCTTTTTTAATGGTAGCTGTTGAACATATCATATGAACATATCATAATTAATTTAAGTCATCTCAGGGCTAGATATGTAGACTTTTTCCAATTTTTCTACTGTAAGCAGTACTGCATGAATATTTCTAACTGTGTTTTTGTGCACTGGACTAGTTGCTTATCCTCAGATAATTTCCTGAAAGTAAGTTATAGATCAAAGGCTTTGCATATTTTATTTATTTATTTTTCCAGTTTTTATATTACAACACATATTTAGATATTTCCAGTAATTCTACAGGAAAGCTATACCAAATACACTTATATCAGTAACTTATAAATGCCCAGGAATTTATTTTTAATGAGTGTGTGTGTGTGTATGTGTGTGTGTGTGTTTCATTTTGAAATATGGCTCATTTTTCATTTCCAAAAATAAGAAGGCTGAAAATTTTCAGTGGTTTTTAATTTTTTTAGAGTCTTAGGACTATTTTAGAATTTTTCAGAGCTGTTTACCCTGTTTTTCAGAAAAATAGACAAATGCAAAAGCATAGGATTTTTTATATATTCCTTATGGGAACTCACATATCCTTTGAAGTTAAATCACAGACACATTAAGACTTTAATCTATAACTCCATAAGGTAAAGAGTCTCTGAATGAGATAATTATAAAGATTTAGCTCCTTTTTAACACTAATGTGCACATATTTACATACACAAGTCCTATACTCATATGCACACAGAATTTAATGTGACTTCTGCTTAAGAACCCAGCCTCATGTGAAATCCTGAGAGCGTGCAAAGTATTGAAATGAAGTTTCCCTACTGATTTCAGGTTTTTCAGTGGCAAGCCCACCAGGAAGAGGTAGCAAGACTGGAAATGGAAATTTCTGCCAGAAGGAGAGAAAAGGAAGAAGAAGAAGAGAAATTGTGGAGGAAGAAGGAATTGTTGAAAAGGGAGGAGAAGAAAAAACAAGTATGATATCTTCTGTTGATGAACACTAAATTGTCTAATGGAGCTTTAATTTATCTTAGTATTTGGCATGGAATTCTCACAGGGGGTGCTGAGAACATTCATAGTTTTGTAGTCATGGTATAGACCATTTTGCTGAACTGCTTGAACATAAGTACTTGTGGTTAGAAGAGATGATGTAGGGGAAAACGAAACAAAGGTTGTGACTATTCTGAAGCCTTGAACTAAGGTCAGACCTGGAAAAGCTTGCTGGGTAGTGAGATAGCATTTTGATTGATGGTAATATAGCAAATGATTGTTAATAACGTATTTGTTGGTAGAATATATTGTGCATGGGATAGTGAAATCTGTGGTCAACTAAAAAGCCCTTTAAAGAATTTATTTCTTGATTTCTTATTAGATGGTTTTGTTTTTACCACGCTCTCTTGAGCAAATATTTGTCTCACATTCCTAAAATTTTTTATCAGAATTATGAATTTATTTTATGGATTTACTGCCTGTGGAAATAATTCACAAAAGGCAATTAATTTGTGATCAACACTTACACACAAAAAGAAATCAGTAAACCTGTATATTTCTACCAATAGCATAAAGCCCTATTCAGAAAATTTGCCTTTACTAGTAATAGCAAGTTTTTCAGACTTTTCAGTAACAACAGACAGCCCACTATGGCCCATAAACCATAGGTTCACCACTGAGGGCCTATACTGAGCTACTGATGCTTTCTTGAAACACTGCTTACATTGCTAAGAATGACTGATTCTTATTGTTGGGCAATATTTCTCTCTCTTTTTTTTGTAAATAGGTTGACATTTGGACTATGTGACCAGTGAAATCTGTGAAGTCCTTGTTAGAAGTTTTTCCTTCAAAGTTAAATATATAGGTAATAAAGGAACTATGGATTTTAAAGCTTTAAAGTCAGGCTTTCTGCAATTTTTAATACTTTAATTTTCATTATTCTTGATTTGTTTTGTTCCTTTACATCAGCAAATTTGTAGATGCAGCATTTGAGGAAAACAATACACATAGGAGTTATATGATCATTTGACAAAGTCAGCTGCTAAAAATGTATTTCATAGTTCTTATATTTTTTAATTAAAAATGCATCCAATATTCACTTCTAAAGAAGTAACCGGAGGTGATTTCATTAGGTTCTTAGCAAGAAGGCTGATGGTAAAAAAGAATAATTGGATGTACTTCAGGAATTGATAGCATTGATCACCTTTCAAAAACTACAAGTGAACTGTGTATCTTTTTGGAGCAATACTGCTTTTTCACTGCGATATAAATATGGTATTTGAAAACTAAATCTCTGTAATTTCGTCTGCTGCTGGACCCCTCTCGTAGTGAATTTCTATGACCACATATAATATTGTATTTCTAAACATTAGTTTACCTGTAGTGTCATTTTAAGGATTCCATTTCAGGAGATTTAAAAGACTGAGAAAATACGTATTGTAAGATGTGTATATTTTCAGTTTGCACTCTTTGAACTACGTCAATCTGATAGATGTGAAAAGTTCTTCATTAAAATTTAATTTATATTGCAAGATTGCTTGTGAGATTAAAATTCTTTTCATGCTTCTTTTCATGGGAAGTTTCTTTCTTTGTAAATTGCTTTTCATGCATTTTTCTATTTCTTTTTAAATCTATAGAAGTTCCTTATAAATTCTGGATATCATTATTTTATCAGTTACAAATACTTTCTTCTGTTGGTCATTTGCTTTTTAATCTTATCTGTAGTGTCTATAGTTTCACAGGTATTTTAAATTATCAAATAGTCAATGTTACTGAGTTTTTCTTTATGAACTGGGCTCTGGTACTAAAAACACCTCTGCAGACAGATTTTGTGTTTGCCTCTGCTGGGGGCCATATGCCTACTACTGTTTAGATGTGGTATATTAACATTGTGAGCCTAGCATGGATCTGACAGTGTCCGTGCGTAGCTGTAGCCTGTCATCCTGCACTTGACTCCTTTGCTGCCTTTGTCCCCAGACAGAAAATAAGCTCCCTTGTCACTTTTCTGGGGAGTGGTCTTAATACATTTGCTTCTTATTTTGCATCTGGATAAGTACTATATGATGTTTTGCTCTTTGAAATTAGTTTGGTTACAGCTCTTGTGCACCCAGAAATGAAGTCTTTAGGCCCTCTATTAGCTCTTGGTATCCTCAAGCTCCTTGGCTTCAGCTCCCTCTCTTTGCTGTGACTTTGGGTTCTGTACTTATTTTCAGCAATGAGGCATTATGCTCTGTGTGTGTGTTTGTTGTGTGTGTAGTTGTTGTTGTATATTTGTCCACTATTTCTACACATCTAACAAAATAGATTTCTATGTCAATTCAGACGTAGTGACTTCATATATTTATCACCACAAGCCTAGATTCTCAACTATTTTATATGTTGGAGGCAAATTTGTTTCCCCAGAGTTTATTAGCAGTTTGGCAGGTAATCCTACACAGGCAGTGTCTCCTGATTTGAGACATTTTGCCTCTCTAGCTGGTGCTGGGTTTTTGTTTCCTATACCTACGATGTCACCCCATTTGTTTTCTCTATTCAAAAGGAAGCAGCAGAAGAGATTTATGTCAGGTGTGAAACCCCACCAAAGACCTTCTAAATAAAACATAACCTTTTCCTATTCTTTCTTCCCAGAAATTTGTCTTTTAGGGTTCATTTGTTAAAATAGTTTCTATTAAGTGCTAAAGTTTATCCTTACGGGTACCTAGAACCTTTGTAGGTGCTGTTTCTCTAAAACTTAAAACTCTTGCTAGATGCAATATTCACATTTTTCATAGTTTTGGACAAGACCCGAGGAAAGTTTTGATTCATAACTTGTTAGATGATATTGCTAACTTTCATAAACATTATTTTACTTTTGAAATTAGTGTGATGAGAAAATCAGATGATGACTTTTCATGAACAATCCCTGGAAGCTATTGCAAAAAATAAAATTGCTGTGTTAGATACACCTAAAAATGCTTGATATGTGATATTGGTTCCCATACCACCTTTTCAATAGATATCATAGATATCAATTTTTGAGCGCACGAATTTTACAAAAATTGTCCTGCATCACAGAGTTTTAGTTTTTGCTGCTGTATGATGTCTGGTCTAGAGTCTGTGGGATCCAAGGCAAATCGGTCAGTTAAGGTTCACTAGAGGAACATATTTAATGTAAAAAATATGATACAGAAAAGATTTTCACTGGGTATAGTAGTGTTTGCCTGTTGTCCCAGAATTGGGTGGCTGAGGCAGGAGGATTGTCATGAGTTTGAAGTCAGCCTGGGCTACGTAGTGAATTCAAGGCCAGCCTGAACCACATAGGGAGATTCTGTCTCAAAAAAGCCAAGATAATAATAAGAGGGAGGAGAGAGAGAGAGAGAGAGAGAGAGAGAGAGAGAGACAGAGACAGAGACAGAGACACAGAGAGAGACAGACACAGAGAGACAGAGGAGAAAGCACAAATAAATGAAAGAAAACAAAGAAAGAGAGAAAAAATTAAACATAAAGAATCTATGAGCCAGGCTTACAATGGCTACCTGCAGAGTTGGAGTGGAAGAAAGAGAGAGAGAGCTGGAAGATCCAGTGAAAAGTAAAAGTTCTAAAACTTTCAGCGCTGAGTAAACCTACCCATCCAGCCTCAACAAAAGAGGTTTCCCAGGTCTCCCTGTAGGGGGACAGGTTACTGCATACAATATAGGGAAAGGGAAAGTTTCCTGAACACAGGTGGCATTCTATGAGCCATCAAACTGAACTGAAGATGCTCAGTCCTTTCTCCTAAATAGACCAAGGTGAGGAACAGTGGCTTCAAACCATCTCTGAGCTCTGTAAGTAATGGAAAATGAGCGTTCCTCCTAGTAAGAGCGTACACTAGTTTTGACATCCCCTGATATGTTCGTGGCTCTGAAATGATAGTTCACTGAAGGTACAAAAGAGGAAGAGCAGTCCAAAGACAGTTCTCTTTGATCATGCACTGGCTTTGATATTTTAACTAACGATACATTAACAAGCTCACTGAGAAGGGAGCCAAGACGTGTTAGATATAAAGATCACGATCTGACCTAAAGGGATCTTACTTATCAGGATATAGGTAGAAAGAGAAATAAACACACTATGAACTAGGTAGAAAATGTGAAATGAACACACTACGAACTCGGTGGAAAATGGCTAAGTACTCAAGGAGTCCACTTAAAGTGGGGAATGGTTTAGGGTGGTCTTATGATGTGGGTTATTTTCCCTTACTCAGACCTCTGGTTGAGTTCAGCACTGCCACTTGCTAATGTGTGGCCTCAGGAGAATTTCACCATCTCTCACTATTTCACTGTATCTGTCTATTATTGAAATACTAAGTAAGAAATTGGATGGGAAGCAGTTAATACATGCTTGGCACCTAAAAGGAATTCTTTAAATATTATAATAACTGCTGATATTATTGTCACTCCAGTAAAATGATAGGGTAGCAAGTAGTTTGCAAAATATAATGAGAATCAAACAGTAATGAGATAAATTAATAATAATTTAAGGCAGTGATATTAAGGGCTGGTTTAGAACATAGTCTCATGAACATAATTCTTTTTATTTTTGCCTACTTTTACCTGGCAGAAGAAAATTTTAAAGTTGATAGAACTTGATCAGCACTATTGATGATATAGTTCATGAAAAGTTCTAGTAATATAAAAATTTCTAACTACAGTGTAGAGCATGTGGAGATCGTTAGCTGTAGCTTTTCTCTTTAGATAGAAGAGTGATTGATTTACAACTATATCCTGTGGCTTTAGGTAGCAATTGATTGCAAACATACTTTTTTGTAAATTTCATTACTTGCAGACTTTATTGTAAATTACACACATAAGACTTATACTGTGTATTTCATTTTGAAATTCCTAGGTCACCTTTTATAAAAGGTGTGGCTCAGTGTATCACATCTACTTTTTCATTCAGCATTGGCACCGATGCTCTATGGCACACTGGGCTGTATGGCGTTTACTACCTTCCCACCTCTCCTCTGT